TCGTGTAGGAATGATTCCCCCAAGGATCAAGTGCAGCCCCCTGCTGAGGAAGGGTCTCCTCCCTCTGCCCCCCGCATGTCTGACGCAGCGGTACCTGGCAGAAGGGCAAACACCAGGAGCCAACCTAGAAGGACGTTACTGGGTTCCTCTTGCAAAAGTGCCTCGGATGACTTGGAAAAAAGCATCAGCAGTGAGAGCGAAAGTCTAGCGAAGCAATTAGGTGGAAGAAAAAAGCCAGAGAGTTTAAAACGGATTAATGGAGAAGAAGGGATGGGTGCAACCGTGTCCTCGTACAGAAAAAGGAAATGCAGGAATTGCCCTGAATCTTCGTCTGGGCCTTCTGACCATGGGACGCTTTCTGATAGCTTCCCCTCTCAGCGTGAAGAGGAAGAAAACAAGAATGCTTCACAAGCGGTTCTGAATAAAGTAAAGCAGTTTCAGCTGCCTGACTTTGAGGAAGATGAAGGTGGGCATATCGCTTGGGGAAGGGGAAACTTCGTCCCGTTTGATTGTCAAGCGCTATTACTCATCGTGGAATGTTGCAGTGCTTTTGTGAATATGGTTCTTGAATTGCTGAGTTTAATTCCTTTTGTTTTAAGCTTTGGAGCAGCAAAAGATGCACTCACTTTAGTACTGGCTAACCGCTAGTGTGGCATTTAGGTTGTCTGGAGTTGCTTAGGGTTTTGCATTGAAAAACTGTACTTGGCAGGAATTCTTACCCTTCACTAGAGGCTAATTTCACACTTAGTTTCTCTTCTTTACTGCTGTCTAGTTAGCGTTGAGATGAAAAGATGTTCTGGAAAGGAACAGGCCGGTACAGAGTCCCGAAACCGGCCTGTTCTTGTTCCTTCCCCCTTTTCATCTTTTCAGATTATTAGACCCTTCCCTAGGCAGAGAATTGAGCGTGTATGGCGTGACAGCCCCGTGTGTTACGGTGACTTGCGCTGCTGTGGGGTCGCTTACGCAGTTCCGTGCTTCACCTGGTCTGAAGCTGATCCCTTTTTAATCACTGTTCACGCTCATGAACACTGGTGCTTGCTGCTCTTGGCAGGGCTGGAACCGTCTGACCTGTCTTCAAAGATAGTTTCCTCAGAGAGTCTCTCTCGCCTCTCAGCTCTGGTAGATGAAGAGGAGGAGGATGAAGAACTTCCTAGTATTTTATCACATCAAGGTGAGACATTAGTGTACCCGTATGAGACTCCTTCACCCGAGATCGGTGTGCTCTCGGAGGGTATGTGTGCTTCTAGTTTGCTGACAAGCTGCGATAATGAAACCTCGCCTTTCTAGAAGGTGAATCCAGCTTTGTTCAAGCTCGGAATAAAATCGGTTTCTTGGATGCCCCAGAAAGGCTTTTTGAAACGGAATGAAATGCAAATCAGTGTGAAATTGGGCAAGGGCCTCGGATTGAAATGTCCGAGTTCTTGTGTTCCGAACTCCCTGTGCTGCGTTCTGGGGGGCGGCGGGGGGTGCCCTGTCAGCTTAGCTGAAACCTGTAAAAGCACTGAAGTGAAACTCCTGAAAGGAGGCTGATAAGAGAGGGCGAGCAACTGTCTTTTCTTGTTTTTTTTAAAGAAAAATGACTTTATTTTTTATCATAGAACCACAATCAATTGAAGAAGGGATTTTGGTCTGGTGCAAATTGCGAAGGTATCCTTATTGGCCAGCAGTGGTAAGAACAGCTCGCTGCCTTCCTAGAGTGGTACTGCAGGGGTCTGATAAGGAGCAGCCTACCAAGTTCTCGAGTGTCTTTTGCCCTTCTTGACTTGTGTAGAGCTGGAAAGGTTAAAGATCTTCCACTAGAAGCATTCCAAAGATAATAGAAGTAAATTTACATAGGACAAAAGCACATAAAAAAATAAATGTGGTCAATTCACGTATGTTTCTGCTGGGGCAGAGGATTACTACCGAGCCTTTGTATCTCGTGTCGTGACTCAGGGCGGCTGTACCCAACTAACAAAAGAAAGAGGATGGGTCCTTGTGCACTAACACAAACGCTCCATTGGGGTAACTTGCTATTCTTGCCACTTTCAACTCCATTTTTCATATTTGTGTAACTTCCTTTAAGTGTGGGGTGTGCTGTATAATGTCAGTGGAAAATGTTCCTGCTTTGTGAGGGTACTGGGATTTTAGGATGCTAATGAGACTTTATCCTTTCAACAGGTAAAAAATGTGAAGCGGAAGCACAGGAAGGCGTGTGTGCTGTTAATCGAAGGGAACACAAATGATAAGAAAAAAGGGTAAACGTTGTGGATTCCGATCACGTTCTGAACTTTCGGTTTCTTTTACGCAGCGTCCTGTGCTCTTCCTGGTGCAGGGCAATGACTGCGCTGTCAGTGAAAGCAGAGGTTGATCTCGGAGGAAGGGGAGGATTTGCAGGCGTGGGCTACGCGCTTTGTTGCGGCAGGCTGGCATCTGTGCTAATAGCTGGCGCTTCTGTGGGGGATAAAAAAGGGCTGGGGACCCCGCTAGTGGCTTTCGCATGTTGTGCCTGAACCTTCTGGAAACATGGGGCCTGCCTTCAGTTTTGTTTTAAAACCAGGTGCTTCTCATTGGTTAGGATTCTGTAGTTTTAACTTCTTATGAGAACCCAAACTAGTAAAACCTGCATTCCTGAATTCCTTATGAAACCTAGTTTTCAGGGAGGTGTAGAATTGCAGTAAATAAATAGAGGTGCACCTCGACTGCCTCTTTTCCCTAACTGTTTCTTTGTTTCGTCCAGTTTCTCAGTACCTCTTAAGAACCTGAAGCACTTTGATTGTGAAGAAAAGCAGGACCTCATAGTAAGTACTGCCAGTAACAAGCGTATACACGTGCTGGAGAAAGTAAAGTTGTGTACACAATGGGGGAGGAGTGCGGTGCAGCTGACTGGTCAGGGTTTGTTCGCGGGTCTCTGTTCTCCCTCACTCTATCCAACAAAGTAATTAAACATAATTTGTGCTCCACAAAATGGAGAATAATACGGGAATGGGATCCCCCGACACCTTTTTCCGTCTCGGTGAGGCTGCTGCTAGGAACACCTGTGTGTGTGGAAGGCAGGCGGTTGCTTAGGGCTCTTACTGGGTTCCCACTTGTGGGTTTTCTGCGTGCACCAAAGCCGCTCTCACGCTGCGTGGCAAAGCGACGGCAGAAGTGGAATTCCAGGAGAACGCAGGAAACTGCGAGTAACCTTTGATTCGTTATCGTTAGCCCTTTCTGTTCCTGGTTAGTGTCCTAGACCTACAACCTTCGATAGGCCGCTCTTAGGACTGTAAATGGCTCCTGTTTTGTAGGAACGAGCCAAAGAAGATTATCGCCAAGAAATTGAGTGGTGCATTCGATTGATTTCTGACTATCGAATCAGAGTAGGTAAGCAGAAGGGTCGGATGATGTCATCCACTCTGATATACGTCAGAAAAATAACACCAAAACCGTCAGCTTTGTTTCACAGGCTTAACTGAACTGATAAATTACCTGTGTTGGGCTTTTTAGGTTGTCATTCTTTTACGGGATCCTTCTTGGAATATTTTGCTGCCGATATCAGTAAGTGGATTCATCATCGTTTGTGTTCTGCTCTGAGTGGGTGAGTTGGGCTCTGGGGTTTACACGCACGCGTGTGAGTTAGGCATCAGACCCAGCGAGGGGGTGCCGTTCGAACTACTGCAGGCCGTTATTGCGCTCTAAGGCTTTTCGGTCCCACAACAAAAGTTAAATATTGATTGTCAGAGAGGATCAGGTAAACCGGTTCCTTCCCCTTGGGGAGGGGTTGTTCCGGAGCTCCTGTCAGGTTCAACTTCCTGATGGGTTGGGTTTTTTTTAAGACAAAATTAAGATTTTGTTGTTGGGTTTTTTTACCCTCATTGGTAGGAAAGGAAGAAAAATTTCTCTCTTATCAAGAAAGTCCCTTGTTTTATATTTGTATAGACAAGTATGTATGCGAGGAAGCCCCGTGTTTTGTATATTTCAGTATGAATGATTGTGGCTTTTCTTTCAGGCTACCCAGTTAGAAAGGAAGGCTATCAAGGTTCAGTCCAAATGACCTTTCCCAATGCGGCGGAGGAAGATGTCGAAGAGTCTTCATCAGAAACTTCACCTCAGAAGCCCTGCAAGAAACTTCTCCCTGACAGAACGAGAGCCGCTAGAGACAGAGCGAATAAGAAGATAGTGGAGTTTATAGTGAAGACGAAGGGGGCTGAAGAGCATCTCTTGGCTATCTTGAAAAGCAGAAAACAGTCCCGCTGGCTGAAGGAGTTCCTGAATTCAAGTCAGTACGTGACCTGCGTTGAAACGTATTTAGAGGATGAAGAGCAATTAGACCTTGTAGTCAACTACCTGAAGGAAGTGTACCGTGAGATAGACACTAAAAACCTGCAGCAAATAAACGGAGATGGAATCAAATTTATTTCAGATGTCCTTCTGCCTGAAGTAAGTAAACATGAAACACGGAGAAAAGTAAACGTTGACGTAAATGACGCTGCTGGTAGGTGGTTGGAGTTCGCTGGCTTGCGGAACGTTCCCGGGCAGCTGGGTGGCGTTTGAGCTGGGCGGAGGGGTCCCCGCCTGCCTGCCAGCTTGGGTCACCGTCCCTTCAGCTCAAAGGGCATAACACCGCGCTTGCTTTCTACGTGTATCTTGAGTGAAGAACATTAAAATCGGGGCAGGAGGCTCTTAAGCAACGTTTGTGGGCTGGTACTCAGAGAACAAACGTATTTACGTTGCACGTTGGAGAGGATAAAGCAAGCCCCGGTATGAACTGCTGCGCGCTTCCTGCGGGCGCTGCGGAGGCTGGCGGGGTAAGGGTGGGGTGTGGACCAGTGTAACTCTAAACGCTGATTTTTAAGCCGTTAGCACAGAATGGAGAAGCTTTAGGTAGCGCGACGTTTTTAAGGGCAGAGCGATCACTTTCTGGTGCGTTTTGATTACTTCTGAAACTCTTCAGAGCTTTGGGGTTTTTTAATTTGGCGAGTTACCTCTGGGTTTTCTGGGGTTCTTTGTGTGTGTCGGGGGGGTGGTTTGCTTTCACAGTTAAACTTTTAGATACTTATTGTTCCTCCTAGGAACTTCCCTGGGAGAACATCAGTAACTTCTGTAGAAACAAAATTGCTACGAAGAATATCTTGTCTGTTTATAAAAACACTCTCCCGGGAATGTTAAAGGACAAGTTTGTATTATTTATTTAAGAACTTGAGGAACACACCAAGCAGTTTCCTCCAAGTTTCCTAAGGGATTGAGGAACCTTATTCCAATAATGTGCTCAGCTGCTGAGACAGCTTCAAAGCACTGGTTGTAATTTGGTTTTTGTTTCACGAGTATCAATGAACTAAATACTTTTCTAGGCCATCATTTATGCGATTTCTGCTGTGGATGACATAGATTACAAGAAGGCAGAGGAGAAATACATAAAAGGACCATCTGTGAGCAAAAGGTATCTTTTTATTTTTAGTTTTCTCTGAATTTTCCTTACTAGTTTACTGTTTGTACGGAAAAATGTGAGCATAAGGGCAGGATTGTTCAGTACCCTCCCTTCTGCAAGGCAAGCGTCCTCGTTGTCTGAGTAACAAACTGATTAAACGTGGGAAACGTTCTTGCTGAGTTACTGTAACACAGTGCAAGCTGTTTAATATGTTAAGATCGTTTTTACTACAGACCTTCAATGTATTTCTTTTCAGGGAGAGAGAAATATTTGATGAAGAAATTCTAGAAAGAAAAAGGTGGAAGAGCAAACTGCCATCTGCAGACAGCGTCTGAACAGTGGTACAGACTTTCCCGTTATCCTGGCACTGAGCGAGTATCATGAAGTGGTTATTTGTATAAAATGTGTAATTCTCACTTTTTAAAAGCTGTGTGTATATCGCCAAGAGATGTAGTCATTATAATGCTGTGCTGCTGTCGGATACAGTTGCATCTTCGGTCCTTGCTCTCGATTCTGCGTACTGGAGCTGCACGCTGCTTCCCCGGCTCTTGCCACCTTCAGCCGCCTGTAAGAGGCGATGGAAACCGTGTCGGAACGCTGCGGGCGTGCGGCCGCCTCGGTCCTCACCCCTGCAGCCCACTTAACCCAGAACCTGCAAAGACCGCAAGTGTTTTGCAGAACTTGAGATAACACTAACTTTTGTATGAATTATTTTGGCCGGGTGCCTGGCGAAGGGCGGGCTGTCGTCCTCAGAAAGCCACGCGCTGGTGAATTATGTAGCCGCGTGTTGCCCGATGGCCGTGCTGCCGCTGGGCGCGCGCCGGTGCCCCGCCTGGAACCCTTTCCAGCGGGTTGGCTCTTCTTGCTTTACGTGTCTCTCGAAGCATGGGAAATAAAGTTGGTACCTGGTGATGCAATCTGAATGGCAAAGGCGTTGGTTTTGTTGGTGGGACAGCTGTCAGCCGCAGCGGGAAAGGAATCCAGTGTTTGCTTAAGAAGCAAAACACGTTCACTTTTTCCATTTGAAAGTGAAACCATTTTGAATGCTGTTTTAATGGGTTTTTTTGAGGCCGTGATTTTAGGAATGCTTTTAGTTGTCTTTCTCTGATTTAAATATCAAATTTAATCACGCGCAGTTCCCTCCCCCAGTGTTCGCTAAGGGTGCAGCGTCTTGCAAATCGCCTTTGACAGGCTCGCGGTCTTACCGACAGCTATTCCGTGGGAAAAGCCCAACGATGGTATTTTTCTATATTGTAATGAGAATGCGATCTACTCCCCTGTCCAGTAGAAACCAAGATGACTTGAAATTAAGGAAGAAGTTCAAATGTAAGTGGGGATGCAGCTGTGTATTCTGGCTGTGGTAATTACCCCAGTGTGTTTTATTGCGCTTGTGATGACTCTCTACTCCACCGGGAGTTTCAACCTGTGTTTGGAGTCCTTGTTCACGTTACGAAGGGCCGTTCGCAAGCACCTCGAGCGCAGGCACACGATGGCTATATACTGGCCTAGTCTTTATTTTTCATTAAAAACCCATACTGCGTTGTCTGGGATGGTGCTGTTAGGATCCTTCCTCAAACCGCCGCACGGGAGCGGAACTCCCCCCTCGCCTTGCCTTTATCTCGGCCCTTACTTTTCATGCCTTTCGGCTGACGCTGCCTTCGTTTGATTCAGCACGGACAAGTTATTGTAAAAACCGAACTGCATCCTCCTGCCCCAGGACGGCTGGGAGGGTGCGTGGGGCTGGAGCACCCTCCGCTCTCTGGGCCTCTCGCAACCCCTTTCCGCTTTGGAAGCGGGTGTTGGTTACGCAGCGCTGTTCCTACCCCCAGAGCCAGTTCAGTCTTGCGCTGTACGGAATCGTGGTCTCACATCAGTTAAAGCCGGGCGAGGGGAATCAGCAGAGGCTTGAACGCGCTCATTTATTTCAAACACCGGTTGTAAGCTGCGGTCTTTGCTGCGCACTTCCACGCCAATTGGATATCGGGCAAAGCTTAGTTTTGTGTATCAGATAAAACCGCAGTGGTGGTGGCACCTCCTTTCGCCTGACGCCTCCCGTCCGTACCCCTGCTGCTGTTGATTTTAGGATATGAAAAGGCAAAGGGGTGCGGAGCGGGGCTCGGGGAGGGGGCGACGCGTTCGCCGGTGGCTGCGGCGCCGGGAAAAGAAGCGGCTGCCGAAACCCGGGATCGAACCAGGGACCTTTAGATCTTCAGTCTAACGCTCTCCCAGCTGAGCTATTTCGGCTGCGCGGCAATGCCCGCCCCCCCCCTCCCGTGACCCCCGGGGGGGGCCGAGCAGCGGCGGGGGGGGGGGGGGGGGGGGG